CTGAGCTGCAGACCGGAAGGTCAGTAGTTCAGCAGTTCGAGACCCGAGTGTGCCGCATGACAGAGTGAGCGCCCGTCTCTGGCCCCAGCTCCTGCCAACCTAGCAGTTCGAAAGCAAGAAATTGCAAGTAGATAAATAGGTACCGGTTTGGTGGGATGGTAACAGCGTTCCGTGCGCCTTGGTGTTTAGTCATGCCGGCCACATGACCACGGAAACGTCTTCGGACAGCGCTGGCTCTTCGGCTTTGAAACGGAGATGAGCAGTGCCCCCTAGAGTCGGAGTCGACTGGCTTTCGAGCAAGGGAAACCTTTACGCGCTTCCTGGCAAAGATGGTTCTTATGCTTTTGGTTTCAGCATAAACTTTTTGACTCTGAAGAAGAAACCGAAATGTCTGGTCTGGATCGATTTGGTCGTGAACCTTGTGGCAATTGACCGGTGCTGTGAGAAAGACAAAACGCAAAAAGGTTTTGGACTTTGTCTTAAGTTAGATTAGTAGCATTAAGGTCAAGCCTGAAGTGTTATGGTGTTCCGCGTTTTGGAGATGGCTGTTAGACCATTTATATCTGTGTTTATGCTGTGTGCTCAGTCACAATGTGTTTATAAGTGTTGTTTTGATTACTATGTAATGACAAGCACAAAAGTATAATTTGGTGCTAATGTTCATTGTTTATTGAGCTTATTCCTGGCGCGTTACTGTCTTTGGTGGTAAGTTATAAGCTAAGCAGGGTCAGTACTTGGAAGGGGGACCACCAAGGAAGACTCTGCAGAGGAAGGCGATGCCCAACCACCTCTGCTTCTCACTGGCCTTGAAAGCCCCTTGCTGGGGTAGCCTTAAGTTATAAACTAAGCTGGGTCAGTACTTGGAAGGGAGACCACCAAGGAAGCCTCTGCAGAGGAAGGCCATGGCAAACCACCTCTGCCTCTCCCTTGCCTTGAAAGCCCCTTGCTGGGGTCACCATTAAGTGTTGGAAGGGAGACCACCAAGGAAGGCTCTGCAGAGGAAGGCAATGGCAAACCACCTCTGCCCTCTCCCTTGCCTTGAAAGCCCCTGGCTGGGGTCGCCGTAAACCAACTGCACCATTGCCATTTACGTACATATCATTCCCATCGCAGAATGTGAAGGGCCTCGTCCCTGAACTTGAGACATGTTCTTCGAAACTGCACATGCCCCGCTGGTAACGATTCCTTTTTGCGTTTTCTCTCCCAGGTTCCTCGCCCGCTCCCTCCTACCCTGGCAGCCTTTTGCCCTTGGGACAAGAGCACCGTCGTTTATTCGGGCTTTGGGCTGCAGAAAGAAATCCTTTTCTACAGTCTGCCGCAGAAGCAGGTGCGTGTCCCCTTCCTCGATCGCTTTCCGGCGGTCTTGCTTTCAGCCACAGTGCCAAACAAACCAGATTTCATGAATGTCGCTGCCGGAATTGTGGACGGTGGCTGATCTGGGGTGGATTGGCGTCTCTGTCTTTTGCTCTCGGCCTTGGTTCCCTGTCTGTAAAATGTGAATGTTAACAGCCCAGGGCCTGTGAGGACCCAGGATTTGGTGTTGTGTTACGCTTAGTACCTGCCCGGTGCGACAGAATGCAGAGTCGTTCCAGTAGTCCAACGGTTAAAGGCTTTCTTACGCCCGCCCTGCAAGTCTCTGCAGGTTTACTGCTTTTAAAGTAGCAGAGCTTTCGGAAAGGCGGCTCCTTCTGCAGTCTGGCATGGCACATCCAGTTTCACCACCAAGTTCTCTTCCCTGCGCCCATTGGGTCTAAAATGGTGGGCCCCGTCTGCTGTTTCTGCGGCATTCTTTCCTGGTCATTTTGCGGATGAACTTCAATTGTCGACAGCCGTAGCCTTTGGCCAGGCTGTTCTTCCGTCCCCTGCTGGCTGCTGCCATATCTGTCTTTCTGAGAGCCAGCTGACACAATTCAGGCCCACTTCTGGACAAACACATCCATAAGAACGTAAGCGAAGCCAATGTTGGATCAGGCCAATGGCCCATCCAGTCCAGCACTCTGTCACACAGTGGCCAAAAATACCAGGTGCCATCAGGAGGTCCAGCAGTGGGGCCAGGACACCAGAAGCCCTCCCACTGTTGCCCCCCCAAGCACCAAGAATACAGAGCATCACTTGCCCCAGACTGAGAGTTCCTATCTTACCTTATGGCTAATAGCCATGATGGACCTCTGCTCCGTATGTTTCTCCAATTCCCTCTTGAAGCCGTCCATGCTTGTAGCCGCCGCCACCTCCTGTGGCAGTGAATTCCATGTGTTAATCGCTCTTTGGGTGAAGAAGGACTTCCTTTTATCCATTCTAACCCGACTGCTCAGCGATTTCATGGAGTGCCCACGAGTCCTTGCCTTGTGAGAAAGGGAGAAAAGTACTTCCTTCTCTACCCGCTGTATCCCATGCGTCATCTTATAAACCTCGATCACGTCACCCCTCAGCCATCGTTTCTTCAAGCTAAAGAGCCCCAAGCGCCCTTAATCTTTTTTCATAGGGAAAGTGTTCCAGCCCTTTTATCATTCTGGTTGCCCTTTTCTGCACTTCCCCCCAGTGCTATAATATCCTTTCTGAGGTGTGGTGACCAGGTTTTTTTTGGGGAGGGGGGGGCTGATGGGACAACGCCCCCACGAATATGCCCAGCCCCCTGGTGGGGAGGGGGCGGCCTCGCTGGTTCCTCCTGCACACGATTTCTGCCTTTCCCGTACCAAGCCTCAGGAGGCTGCAACTCACATCCTTTCGTGTCTTGGGATGAAAATGTACAATCGTGTGTCCCTTCCTGTCTTGCGAGTGTTGTGCTTGCTGTGCAAAACATCCCACGGGCGTCGGTTCTGTCTTCTGAGTGCCCTAACGTCTCAGGATCTTTCTTTCCTGGCGCGCAGGTGATCGAGAAGATTCCCTTGCCTTACTTTGCCACGTCGCTGAGCTTGTCTCCCGCCGCCTGCGTCATAGCCGTCGGCTTCAACGGTAGGGATGCGGATAGCGGGATGTTCACAGCTTTCCTGTAGCCAGAGCTATGTGTCGAAAACCGTACAGGAAGGCAAGCCTGGATAGAGAGCGAGATGGTTACACCAGTTGTAGTGCCTCATTTCTCCAGCAGAGGGTGCTGAAGCAACAGACAGCCGGGGCAGCCGGGAGGAAACCGGACTTCCAGGGGGTACGATAGGCCCTGGTTTTTTACCCACACCCCGTCAAGCATCTGTTTTTGGCCATAAAGACGAGAAACCTGTTTATTTGTGAAAACAGTCATGTCGTGGAAGGAGGTAAGGCCGGGGTAGTTGATGGCCAGTAGGGAAGAATACTGTGGCAAGTTGTAGGTTTCAAAAACTGGCTTCCTCAGAGGCCAAAGTTGGGCTTTCCTTTCGATTTCGCCCTCTTATTGCCCTTGGTTGGAAGGAAGAGATGTCCAAATGCATATATTCAGCTCACATAACAGAGAGCCAGTCTGGTGTAGTGGTTAGGAGCGCAAACTCTAATCTGGGAGAGCCAGATTTGATTCCCTACTCCTCCATATGCAGCTGCTGGTGTGACCTTGGGTCAGTCACAAGTTCTCTCAAGAGCAGTTCTCTCAGAGCTCTCTCAGCCCCACCTACCTCACAGGGTGTCTGTTGTGGGGAGAGGAAGGGAAAGGAGATTGTAAGCTGTTGTGAGACTGAGTGAAGGGCAGGGTATAAATCCAATCTCCCTTCCCTCCTCCTTCTTTTCCTCGTCTTCTGTCCGTCACAATTCTCTCAGCCCCACCTCCCTCCCAGGGTGTCTGTTGTGGGGAGGGGAAGGGAAAGGAGTTTGTAAGCCACTCTGAGACTCTGAGTGAAGGGTGGGGTACAAACCCAATTCCCTCTTCGTCTTCTTACATGCGGCCTGGCTTGTCTGCAGGAGCAAAGCAGCGGACTCCACAGGGGCTTGGCCTGTCTACAAGCCCCCTCAGACCCAACTGCAGTTTTCAGGACACTCGGCTCTGTGCCCTGTGCATGCTCCCCCATCATTGCAGCCGACGGCAGCCCTGCTGAAACGTGTCTTTGTCTGATTCTACCCCTTTGCTTCTCCCACAGAGCGGGTCGTGAGGCTGATCGACCGCACGGCGAAGACCGAGCGAGACCACCGGGGCCACGACGACGCCGTCTCTCTCTGCCGGTTCACCCCCTCGGGGAACCGTCTCTTCACCGCTTCCTATAACGAGATCTTGGTGTGGGAAGTCCAGAGTGAGTGCTGAGGCCGCTGCCTCCAGCTGTGCTCGCACCTCTGGCACCGAGGCCAGACAGAGAAGGACTCGAGCGCCGTACAGCTAGCTCGGGGTACCGGAAACCAGCGGCCAAACTGTAAATTGCCAGCAGGGTCCGGGGGCGGAGACGTCGCGGCGGGCAGAACCATTCACAGGGAAGAGCTCTCGAGTTGGGGAAGGTAGGCGACATCCTCTGGACTCCCGTGTCCAATACTCCCCTCTCTGTCTCCGGATTCCTGCGAGTCACGGCCCTTCCTTGCTTTGGGGGCCCGGAGCCCCTCACTTCCTCCGTGTTTCCCCAGGATCTCGGCCTTGCCTCCTTTGTCGGCTTGCTCGAGGGGAGCAGCGGATGTTTCGAGCGCCCCTCCAAGCAGGTGTTCCTACAGAGGCCAGTTTGAGACTCAAGCAGACTTTGGGAGTCTCGCCTGAGAAATACAAAAGTAGCACAAAGCTGTAACTGGGTATGAGTTGGTTTCCGACGCGGGACTGTTGGCATCGATGGGGAGCGTAGACACAAACCCACAAGCACGTGGATGTACGTTCTTTTCCTAAAAACAGGTTCCTCGTCCCTTGCTCACCCTCACCCGTACCGAATTTTGATTTTATCGCTGCTTCTCAGTGAGATATTCTGTCGATGACAGAGCAAGTCCGAAAAGAGTCCTATTCTTTTGTTTCCAAACGACTGCATTTTCTCGGCCGCGGCGGGAAGTGATATAGAATCACAAAAACGAGCGGCGGCAAAGAAGAAAACCCCGGGAACGCACAGAGCCGGCAGGTGCAAGATAACCCGTTGGAAGGAGAGCAGATCGTGAAGACAAATTTGCCCTCTGGGTGTTTTTCTTTTTTAAGTTACTTTTATACGAAGGATGTTTTCAATTGTCAACGAAGACACTAGAATGTTTTTATACGTCTCAGGCACAAACCCTGTTTAGGTTTCGGGATGCCGTCGATAACCGAGCTCCAGTTTCTTCCTCTTGGGGCACAGAGCTGGTAAAGGGGGGGAGAAACAGTTAATAATATCAAGAATACAGAATTATATTTTGTTTACTTGTTTTTTTTACAGCAAACGTAGGTGCTGCTTGTGTTGAACTGGCTTCCTCCTAAATGGGTGTTCTTTTGTATTTTGAACCTGTCAATTTTTCATTCAGAGCTCTACAGAAATAAAAGATTGGGAGCCTCCTCTTTCACTGTATTAACTCAAGCCGGTAAAAGCGTTTGCTGATTCTAAAAGGAAATACTCTGACCCGGATGCACAATCTCAGAAGCTAGGCAGAGTCGACCCTGGTTGGTACTTGGATGGGAGACTGCCAAGGAAGTCCGGGGTCACTACGCAAAGGCAGGCAGTGGCCAACCAGAGAGCGCCAGCGTGGTGTAGTGGCTAAGAGCGGTGGACTGTAATCTGGGAGAACCGGGTTTGATTCCCCGCTCCTCCATGTGCAGCTGCTGGTGTGACCTTGGGTCAGTCACAAGTTCTTTCAGAGCTGTTCTCTCATCTCGCCAGTTTGGTGCAGTGGTTAAGTGCGCGGACTCTAATCTGGGAGAACCAGGTTTGATTCCCTGCTCCTCCACTTGCAGCTGCTGGATGACCTTGAGCAAGCCATAGTTCTGTCAGAGCTGTCCTCGAAAGGGCAGCTCTCTCAGCCCCACCGACCTCCCAGGGTGTCTGTGGTGGGGAGGGAGAAGGGAAAGGAGATTGTCAGCTGCTCTGAGACTCCGAGTGAAGGGCGGGGTATAAACCCAATCTCTTCTTCTTCATTGTCAGTCACAGTTCTCTCTCGGAGCTCCCTCAGCCCCACCGACCTCCCAGGGTGTCTGTAGTGGGGAGAGGAAGGGAAGGTGGTCGCAAACCCCTTCAAGGCTCCTGCGGGTAGTGAAAAGCAGGGTATGAGACCAAGCCTCCTCCTCCTAACCGTCTCTGCTTGTCTCTTGCCTTGAAAGCCCTGCCACTCAGCGACACTTCAGGCGGACGCAGAAACACGCCAGTTTTGCGTATTTCCAGACTTCTTCCAGCTGTCCCGTCTCCTCTGTCCAGTTAGGTGCTTCTGGGGGAGCAGCCCTGGCTGGCCGAGGGAACCCAAAGGCAGGTCGGTGGCCCAGTTTCTTGGCAGAGGCCTCATGCCCCCGGTTGGGCGAGGCAGACTCTCCCCTGCTCCTGGGACTCACGAGGCCACCCCCAGGCTCAGAGCTGTTCTCCGCCATCCCTTGGGCATTCTCTGGAGGAAACGTTCTTCCTCGCAGATGGCATAGGAGTAGAGAATAGTCTTAACACTCTTCACAGGCTCCCCAAAGGTAGAAGAAGAAGAGATTGGATTTATACCCATCCCTTCACATGGAGTCTCAGAGCGGCTGACAATCTCCTTTCCCTCCCCACAACAGACACCCTGTGAGGGAGGCGGGGCTGAGAGAGCTCTGAGAGAACTTGTGACTGACCCAAGGTCACACCAGCAGCTGCATGTGGAGGAGGAGATTGGATTTGTACCTTGCCCTTCATTACCCGAAGGAGTCTCAGAGCGGCTTACAATCTTCTTTCCCTTCCCCTCCCCACAACAGACACGCTGTATGGTAGGCAGGGCTGAGAGGGCTCTGAGAGAACTGCCCTTGAGAGAACAGCTCTGAGAGAACTTGTGACTGACCCAAGGTCCCACCAGCAGCTGCATGTGGAGGAGGAGGAGGAGATTGGATTTATACCCTGCCCTTCACTACCCGAAGGAGTCTCAGAGCGGCTTACAAACTCCTTTCCCTTCCCCTCCCCACGACAGACACCATGTGAGGTAGGTGGGCTGAGAGAGCTCTGAGAGAACTGCCCTTGAGAGAACTTGTGACTGACCCAAGGTCACACCAGCAGCTGCATGAGGAGGAGGAGGAGGAGGAGATTGGATTTATACCCCGCCCTTCACTACCCGAAGGAGTCTCAGAGCGGCTTGCAATCTTCTTTCCTTTCCGCACCCCACAACAGACACGCTGTGTGGTAGGCAGGGCTCAGAGAGCTCTTGAGAGAACAGCTCCAAGAGAACTTGTGACTGACCCAAGGTCACACCAGCAGCTGCTTGTGGAGGAGGGGGGGAATCAAACCCGGTTCTCCCAGATTAGAGTCTGCGCTCATAACCACTTGGCCAAAGTAGTGGAGCGATCGCAACAAAACGAAAACCTCTTTTCATTGGCTTCAGGACTCGGCCATCGTTTTTAAAAGAAAGCGGCTCGAACCAAAACGCCAGGCACAGACAGGCCATAGCCCCAAGGGCGGTGGTTCTTATTTATCTACAGCAGGGACCCCCAGTGTGGTGTGCCAGCCAACACCACTCCTGCCGCCCGCTGAGCGGTTTTTAGAAAGTGGGTGGAGCTCTTGCCCAGCGGGGTTTCTGATTGGCTACTGCAGGCTGGCTTGGCTGTGCAGGTTGGAAATAACATTGGATTGCAGCTGCCCAAACAGTATTGGCTTTATTCCCTCTCGCTCTTGTCTCCCGCACTTGGGCTTTGTCTGTAGCTCCACCTCCTGCGGCAGCCATTCTCGGGTTGCGCCCGCCCACCCCCCTGTGTCAGCACGCCAAAGGTGCCCACAGGCTCCAAAAAGTTGGGGACTCCGATCGACATTTATACCCCACTTTGGTCTCCAGGGAGCTGCGGTGGCTCAAGTGGGTAAGACGCTGAACTGCAGGCTGTGGAAGGTCGGTCGTTCAGCAGTCCGAGACCCGAGTGTGCCGCATGACAGAGTGAGCTCCCGTCTCTGGTCCCAGCTCCTGCCAACCTAGCAGTTCGAAAGCAAGAAATTGCAAGTAGATAAATAGGTACCACTTCGGTGGGAAGGTAACAGCGTTCCGTGCGACTTGGTGTTGAGTCATGCTGGCCACATGATCACGGAAACGTCTTCGGACAGCGCTGGCTCTTCGGCTTTGAAACGGAGATGAGCACCACAACCCTAGAGTCGGACTCGGCTGGCTTTCGAGCAAGGGAACCTTTACCTTTTACCTTGGTCTCCAGTGGGGACAAAGACACGAGCCCTGACCCGGATAGCTTAGGCCGGCCCGATCCCATCAGATCTCGGAAGCGAAGCAGGGTTGGCCCTGGCTAGTATTTGGAAGGGTGACCTCCAAGGAATACCAGGGTCGTGACGCAGAGGCGGGCGATGGCAAGCCACCTCTGAAACGTGTCCTGCCTTAAAAATAAAGTCTGGCTCGCCACCTAGTGGGGCGTAACGCTAAAAGAGCTAGAACTTCTGGCGGCCAGACCATCTTAGGATCTCCTGGCTATTCGACACACAAGGCCATAAACTAGTATTAATTATTACAAAGACACCGTGACGTTTGTTAGTCAGAGAACGTATGCTTGGCCATAAGTCACCCAGGAATCTCCCAGGCAGAATGGGGATTTCCGAGCCCAACACGCTTGAGTCTAATCCTTCCACCACTGCGGCAGCGCTCTAACCGGCTAGGTACCCATTTGTCTTTTAATTTCATGGCTGCTGTCACAGTCTGCGGTGATCTGGGATCCCAGGAACGTGAAGTCTGTCACTACTTCCACGACTTCCCCTTCTATTTGCCAAGGAGTGATGGGTCCGGATGCCATGATCTTAGTTTTTTTTGATGTTGAGCTTCAAGCCCACTTTTGCGCTCTCCTCTTTTACCCTGAGCAAGAGGCTCTTTAGGTCCTCTTCACTTTCTGCCATCAGAGTGGTATCGTCTGCATATCTGAGGTTGTTGATCTTTCCCCCAGCAATCTTAATTCCCGCTTGTGATTCATCCAGGCCAGCATTTCGCATAATGTACTCTGCATATATATTAAAGGCCAGATAATGAAACTGAAGCTCAAACGCTTTGGCCACCCAATGAGAAGGGAGCACTCACTGGAGAAGACCCTGATGCTGGGAAAGACTGAAGGTCAAAGAAGACGGGGATGGCAAAGGATGAGATGGTTAGACAGTGTCATCGATGCAACGAACATGAAATTGAGCACACTTCAGAGGATGGCGGAGGCCTGGTGGGAGCTGGTCCATGGGGTCGCGAAGAGTCGGACTCGACTGTGCGACTGAACAACAACAACAACCCGTTTGTCTGTGTTTGTGTGGATGAGCTACAGGAGGGAAAGGTCTGGCTTGAGTTCCACTCTGACCCTGACGCTCTCGTGTGAGCGGCAGAGCAGTGCTTTCTCAAGCGGGGAAATGCCTTGCACAGGTGAAAGACTTGGGGAAACTGGAAGCTCACAGGAAGCACCTGTTAATTCAGACAGGTTTCTAAAGCATCGAAAGCACAAAGCAAAGGAACCAAAGCCCCTTTCCGTGGAAAGGGAATGGTATGGTTGGTGGAAGGGATGAACCACAATCCCCGAAGAAAGAATGCAGCATAGGCCTTGGGGGTAGAGGGGAGAAAGTGCCTCCCCCCCCCCCCAATTATGTCTGACTTTATACAGCAGATAACTGGCAGCCAGTGTTCCCTCTAAGCTGAGTTAGTGTGAGCTGGCGCACAGCTTTTTAGCCTCCGCTCACACGTTTCTGCTTTAGCTCAGGAAGGACGGCTCCAGAGCAAACTACGCAGTAGCCAAATGGCTCGCTCACAGCTTTAATGCCAGGAGCTCGCAAAGCAGAATTTTGGCTCACAGGACTCCGCAACTTGGAGGGAGCAGTGCTGGCCACCAGATGTTGTTTCTCGTCCCTTGCCAGAAACGGCTCTTTCCCTTTCCAGTTTTCCCAGAGTTTCCTCATCTGACCGATGCAGCAGGCAGATAACAGGGCCCGATCACGCACGGAATGATTTCGACAATGCAAGAAGGAAAATGTTCGTTTAATATACAATGCAGTCCCCACACCGTTTGTGAATGCCAAGTTTGTTCAAGTCTTTCCTTAATATTTTAGAGACAGCGAAATATATTCTGAACCACACCCCCTTGGGATACAGAGCTTTCAGTCTTTGGCACCTTGTGTAAAAAGAGGGCACGTCATACCCAAAGGGTTAAGTCTTCCGGCTCAGATGAAGTCCTGTTTTCAAAATAAGTTGCTGTCGGGTCGCTTGCTCTTAAGAAATACTAACATCTTTTAAAAATATATTAGGTATTTTTTTAAAAAAAAATCCAACAAGAGAACATTCATAGGCAGTGTTCCCTCTAAGCCGAGTCAGTGTGAGCTACTTCACAGCTTTTTAGTCTCCGGTTCACCCACTTTTGTCTCAGCTCAGGGGAGGGATGGCTCCAGAGCAAACTGATTTATGCAGGAGCCCAATCGCTCGCTCACAACTTAAATGCCAGTCGCTCACAAAGCAGAATCTTTGCTCACAGGACTCCACAGCTTAGAGGGAGCATTGTTCATAGGTATCACTCTGATAAGCGAAAGAAAGAAATCAAAGTAGTAGTCATGGCGGGGGGGGAGCCCTTTTCTTTTTGGCTGTCAGTACCCAAATTCCTTCCCAATGAATTGCCGTTCCTTGTGGCTTTCCCAAGGTCCATTTGGATCACTCAGCGCTGCTTGCCGGTAGAATTCTGTAAACATCGATGCATTCAATAGGCACATCTATTGCAAACCGTCACTGCGTGCCAAAATCCTGCAAGGAAACTCTCTTAACACCAAAACAACCAAAATCCTCACACACACCCCAACACCAAAACCTGTTTTCTCGTGGAATGTTTTTGCCGCACATGTGTAGGGTTTTTTTTAGCTTTAAGACAGAACGTGACTGCGGGATCAAGCCCACCTTTTTGTTTCCGTTAGCAGGTTGCCGACGAGGGTCCCACGCTTAATGTGGCAGGAAGGGTCAGCTCTGGTCTTCTGTCTACAGCTGCTGGTATTCAGAGGTATACTGCCCCTGAACGGGGAGGCTCCACTGGGCTAGCATGGCCGCCAGCCTTTGCGAGAAGTATTTGTTCAGTTAATGCTCCCTCCCAAAAACCAATCTACAATAGCAACCAGTATATGGCAGGGAATGACATAACTGAAAAGGGTCAGATTGAAGGACACAGATAAGAACATCAGAAGAGCCCTGCTGGGTCAGACCAGTGAGGGTCCATCTAGTCCAGCCTCCCGTCCTACACAGTGACCAACCAGCTCCTCTGGAGGTCCCAAAACAGGGCAGAGAGGCCGAGGCTGCTAGGATCCCAGAGGTTGACTGCCTTTGAGTGTGGAGGTTCCCTATGTTTTTAAGCCAGGGACTCACGCTGAATTTGAATCTGGGTTTGGCAGGGTTGTTTTTTTAATTGGGAGGAACCAGGATGGAACCCTAATCCAACCCCAAAATCACTGGGTACCCCTGGGTACTGGGTACTTCTTCACCCAAAGAGTGATTAACACATGGAATTCACTGCCACAGGAAGTGGTGGCGGCTACAAACATGGACGGCTTCAAAAGGGAATTAGATAAGCATATGGAGCAGAGGTCCATCAGTGGCTATTAGCCACAAGGTATAGATAGGGGCTCTGGGGCAAGTGATGCTCTGTCTTCTTGGTGCTTGGGGGGGGGGGTCAACAGTGGGAGGGCTTCTAATGTCCTGGCCCCAATGCTGGACCTCCTGATGGCACTGGTATTTCTGGCCACTGTGTGACACAGAGTGTTGGACTAGATGGGCCTTTGGCCTGATCCAACCTCTTATGTTCTTATGTTCTTAATACACCCCACCCTCCCTGACCTCAACTATCTACTGCCAAATGATCCTGCACAGAAAAGTAATTTTAGATTCCTAAAATATTGTCCAGGCCCTCAAAGAAGGCTGTTCTAGTTGTTTAAGGCTGTTTAAAGGACAGCTCTTAAAGATACAAGAGCATGAAAGTGGTTGTAGGATTGTGACAAAGTATTTGCCACACTAGGTCCGACCTAGTCCAGCAAACTCTGTACGGAAATACTCCTCTGCCGGCATCAGTGAAAAAGATAAACTGCTTCTGCCTGTGGAGGCTCTGTGCCCTTTAGTATTAAATCAATGGTCCTCATCTGTGAATATATTTGTTAGTAGTAGGCTTCCCATTTACCTGCCTGTAGCGAGAAACTGAGGAGCGATGGGGGGGGAAATGGCTTCCATAGTGATGCTCTAGGAATTTACCCATACCTCTAGGGATTTTACCACAGAGATTAGGCAGAAATTCCTAGCACATAGAGATTGGATTTATACCCCCCTCACTACGTAAAGGAATCTCAGAGCGGTTTACAATCTCCTTTCCCTTCCCCACAACAGACACCCTGTGGGTCTGAGAAAACTCTTTCGAGAACTGCTCGTGAGGGAACAGCTCCGAGAGAACTCGTGACTGACCCAAGGTCACACCAGCAGCTGCATTGGAGGAGCAGGGAATCAAACCCGGATCTCCCAGATTAGAGCCTGCGCTCCTAACCACTACACCAAACTGTCACCATTTGGAGCATGATTTGGAAAAACACTGGAGATAGGAAATAATCACACCATCTGCAGCGAGAAGGAGACTTCTTCGAAAAACAACTTCAGTCTGAAGTGCAACTCCTTGGGGTTATTGTACACTGGAGAACCATTCCCAACTGGACCTGGGCAGGACAGATCCCTGCTATACATGTTTCTGGTTGCTGCCACCTAGTGGCCAAGTAGCCCTGACCAAGATAGCCTAGACTAGCCTGATCTCGGAAACAAAACAGGGTGAGCCCTCGTCAGTTTTTTGGGAATCCAGGATCGCTCCACAGGGGCAAGCACTGGCAAACCACACCTCTAGTTATCCATAGGCAGGTCCCACATCCTTGGTTTCCACAAACCAGGGTGCACATTCCGCAGTTCCGGTGCAGTGATCCCTCTAAGCTGAGTTAGTGTGAGCTAGCTCACAGTTTTCTAGCCTCCGGCTCACACATTTTTGCCTTAGCTCAGGGAGGAGGGCTCCAGAGCAAACTAGTTTATGCAGCAGCCAAATGGCTCGCTCACAACTTTAATGCCGGCAGCTCACAAGGTAGAATTTTTGCTCACAAGACTCCACAGCTTAGAGGGAGCATTGGTACTTTAGCAATTCCACTCTGCAGTTGAAACAGAGCTCCCTACACCCAGAGGAAAAAATCTGGATTTAAAAACAGGAAGGCTGGAAAACTAGCTGTATTTTTGACAGTTCTTTCTAACACGACGTTACGCCCTGACTTATTTTTTTTAATAAGTTCGTTCCTCGTGTCCCTTTCCCCCCCACCTTTCCTTTTGTATTACGGTGTGTGTTTGAAGTCATACATTAGAAAGGGAGAAGTGTAATGTATTGGCTGCCATCTAGTGGCCAAATGGCAGTTATTTTGCTTGACAACTATTTTTCCTGATAGTTATTTTTCTAGGCAGGGAAATTTTTCCTGATAGTTATTTTTCTGGGCAAAGCTGGGGCCGGAGGAGGGCTTTCCCCGAGATGAAGGCCCGGGTGACGCTTTGGCTTAAATAAAGCAGGATTTATACCTCCACGTCTTGCCGCTGCGGCCTCCAAACATTACAGTCCTGCTCCCACAAAAGAAGACGCTGAGCCTCTCTGACCACAATCTCATTGCAACGGCAGCTGTACAAGCGACGGGATCACAAGAGGCTCTAGGCTCTGTTAACAGACTGCAAAACAGCAGGGTTAGGGGTGTTCGTCGGCTTTTCCAGCTCAGCGGCCGAGGAGCCTTGGGGTTGAGTTGGGAATTGGCACAGGCTCTTTCCCCCAGCAGAGACATCCTTGTAACATCAGCAGGTCTTTTTCAAAGAGGACAGGCTTCCGCATTAAATCAGATCTCAGGAAGAGGCCAGCCTGCCCGCCCCGGGAACACGGAAGTCTCACTGAGACCCACAATCAGATGAGTTCAGCGCTCTCCACCTGATCTGGGTCCTGCTCGTCCGCGTCGTCTTCGGTCTTCCACGCTGCAGCGGAGTAAGTGTGTGTGGACTCCCCGTTCATTTCCTCCAGCGGCTGATAAGTGTACTTGCTACGGTTCTGTTGTCCCGCGGACCGGCAGAAGAGGAGTTTGGCATTTCCAGCAGCGCTGAGCAAAAGCAGAAGAGCCAAGACTGATGTGATGCCGATCCAGTTTTTCCTAGAACCAAACAAAACACAAGCGGTCGTTAGCGTGTTTTTGAGACAGAGGAGTAACTGGCCGCCCTAGCTAAGCTGAGCGGCCGCAGTTCCAGCCGGAGCTTTGGACTAAAGAAAAACATAATTTCCAACTGTAAATTTCTGCAGCTCTTTCACATGTCCCATGTTGCTGTGTATGTTTTTGTCAATGGGCTTTTCCGCACTCTCCGGTTTGGTGTAGTGGTTAAGAGCGCGGACTCTAACTTGGGAGAACCGTGTTTGATTCCCCGCTCCTCCACATGCAGCTGCTGGTGTGACCTTGGGCCAGTCACAAGTTCTCTCAGACCTTTTCTCTCAAGGTCAGTTCTCGAGAGAGCTCTCTCAGCCCCGCCTACCTCACAGGGCGTCTGTTGTGGGGAGGGGAAGGGGAAGGAGATTGTAAGCCACTCTAAGACTCCTTTGGGTAGTGAAGGGCGGGGTATAAATCCAGTCTCCTCTTCTTCTCTACTCTCTTGTAAGTTTCCATTTCTTTGCATGTGTTGTGCTCCCTCTAGTGGTTGATTTGATATCACACCCATTGATGCTCAGCATTCCACAGGGAAATACGCCAGACATAAACCGGTGCGATACTGAATTGACCACTAGAGGGAGCACAACATATGCCGGACAGAATTTCCCCCGGGGAAGAAACAGGAACTTACAAGGGAGGAAAACGAATTGTCAGTGTCAAAACTATACGATAAAAAATTCAGAAGCTTTAACTCCATTTGTCATGAACCCCCATGCTTTGTCTTAAGGGGGGGGGTGTTTTAAAGGGGTCACTCATGTTAGAATAATTAGGGCAAGCATTATTTTGCAACCTTCAGGGCTGGAGACCTCCGAGCCAAATCTGAAGACGGTCGTTGACCGAAAAGCAGGACATGATTAAAAATATACCCAACAGAATAATTTCTGACAAGGGGGGGGTCTCCTCCCCAGTTGCCAGACCCTGATCTTTCGGCCCTCTTTGCCAAAGGACTTCCACTCTCTCAACCCAGAAGAAGAACATGTCTTCTCCAAGGCCTCCCGGCAAGGAGAGCCGATTTTGAACCACAGACAACCCAGCCACGCCAGCTGAAGGAAATCAGAAGAACATCTTGGAGTTCCTCCGGCCTCGGGACTCCGTAACCAGAATGAAAGCGCCACACTTACTCTGTGAGAATAAGTTCCGGGTTACAACCGGCCTTCGGCAGACACTGTGTGGCTGTTAAAGAAAAGGAGATGTGTGACTGAGTGGGAAACACCCATTTACCTAAGCAGGAAGGCAAAATTCCAAGATGGTGGACGACTGGAAGTGTAGCATGAAGGGTAAGGTCTCTCTCCATCTGATGGGCAACTGTCCACCTCAGACAGTCTGTGCCTCTGGCTCCCTCGGGGTCGGGGTGCCCCTCACTCTGTCTCGGACTCTTTGTCTCTCTTTACCTCCAGCTCAGTCTCTCAAGGTCTCTCTGTGTCTCTCAGTCTTTTGGGGATGCTTCAAATCCCTCTCTCACGTGGTCTCCGGAGTTTCTCTGAGCCTACCTCTTATCTCCCCCCCTTTTCCAATCTGTTGTCCCAAACTGGTAAATGTCATAACAGGGCAGGAGAGCATGAAAGAATCATAGAGTTGGAAGGGACCTCCAGGGTCATCTAGTCCAACCCCCTGCACAATGTAGGAAATTCACAAATACCCCCACACACACAGACACACACCCAGTGACCCCTGCTCCATGCCCAAAAGATGGCAAAAAACCGCCAAGATCTCCGGCCAAACTGGCCTGGAGAAAAATTGCTTCCCGACCCCAAAGTGGCGATCGGCATTTCCTTGGGCGTGTCAGAAAGGTGTCGGCTGAGCCT